TCTGGCAAGTTCTCTGTCAATGTACTGTTGCATCCATTTTTGAATAATCTTAAGCAGAATTTTACTTGCATGTGATATTAATGATATCTGATCATTTCTGCCTTCCGTTGGGTCACCTCTCTTTGGAATGGGCACAAATATGGATCTCTTCCAATCAGTTATCCAGGTAGGCGTATTTCAGATTTTTTGGCATAGATGAGTTAGTGCATCAGCTTGTTGAAGGATTTCAATTTGTATTCCATCAATTTCCAGAGCCTTGTTCTTTGCCAATATCTACAGTGCAGATTGGATTTCTTCCTTCAGTACCATTGGCTCTTGATCATATGCTACCTCTTGAGTTGTTTACATCAATCATTTCTTTTTAGTACAGTGACTGTAAATTCCTTCCATCTTTTGATGCTTCCTGCATCATTCAATATTTTGATTATAGAATCCTTAAATATTGCAAGTTGAGGCTTGCATTTTTTCAGTTCTTTCTGCTGAGAAATGCTGAACATGTTCTTCCTTTTTAGTTTTCTAACTCCAGATCTCTGCACATTTCATTATAATATTTGACTTTGTGTTCTTGAGATGCCTTTTGAAATTTTTTGTTCAGTTCTTAACTCCATTTTTCTTCCATTTGCCTTAGTGCCTCTATGCTAGAGAGCAAGTTTCAGAGTCTTTTCTGGCATCCATTTTGTTCTTGCCCTTCTTTCTTGTATTCTTAATGACCTTTTGCTTTTTTCCTATGTGATGTTTTTGATGTCACCCATAGTCTTCTGGTCTTTGGTCTTTACTATCTAATGCATCAAATCTTTTCTTAAGATGATCTCTAAATTCAGGTGGGATATGTTCAGAGTCATATTTTGGCTGTTATAGACTTGTTTCAATTTTCTTCAGCTTCACCCAGAACTCTCATAGGAGCAACTGATGGTTTAATTCCACAGTCTGCCCCTGGCCTTGTTTTCAGGGATGATATTGATCTTTATCTCCGTCTCTTTTCAGAGATGTAGTCAGTTTGATTCCTGTGCATTCCATCTGGTGATGTTCATGTGTCTTGTCATCTTTTATGTTTTTTGCAAAAGGTATTTGCAATGAACAAGTCCTTGGTGTTGCAAAATTCTATCATGTGATCTCTAGCCTTGTTTCTGTCATCAAGGCCATATCTTCTGCTACTAACCCTTTGTCTTTGTTTCCAACCTTTGCATTCCAATCACCAGTAATTATCAATATTTCTTGATTGCATCTTTGATCAATTTCAAACCGAAGAAACTGGTAGATGTCTTCAATTGCATCTTCATTGTCATTAATGATTGGTGTGTAAATTTGGATGATTGTTGTTGTTATTGTTAAGTGCCGTTGAGACGGTTCTGGCCCATAATGACCCTGTACAGGGTTTCCGAGGGTGTAAATCTTTATGGGAGTGGAAAGCCTCATCCTTCTCCCGCGGAGCGGCTGGTAGTCTCGAACCGCTGACCTTAAGGTTCGCAGCCCGGTTCGTAACCACTATGCTACCAGAGGTAGTGTTAACTGGTTTTCCTTGAAGGTATATGGGTATTATCAGATAGCATTATACTTCAAGATAGATGTTGAAATGTTCTTTTTAGTGATGAATGTGATGCCATTCCTCTTCAATTTGTCACTCTCAGCATAGTAAACCCTACAACTGTCAGATTCGAAGTGACCTATACTAGTCCATTTCAGCTCACTAATGCCTAAGGATATCAATAACTTTATGCATTCTGTTTCATTTTTGACAACTTTCATTTTTCCCAGCTTCATATTTTGTACATTCTGTGTTGTGATTGGAGTTCTGGTGTGGCGCTGTGGGCTAAGGCATCAGACTGCAAAGTTGTTTGAACTGCAAGATTGGTGGTTCAAGCTCACCAGCTGCTCCTTGGAAACCTTATACAGGGTCGCTATGGGGTGGAATCGACTTGACGGCACTTAACAGCTGCAACAATGTTGTGATTGTTAATGGATGTTTACAGCTATTTCTCTTCATTTTTAGTTGTGCTCTATATCAAATGAAAGTACCAAAAACCTTCCTTTATTCATGTCATCATAGTCAACTTGACTCTGAGGAGGCAACTCTTCCCCAGTAGCACTGAGTGCCTTCCAACCTGAGGGGCTCATCTTCTGGCATTGTATCTGACTATATTTTGGTGGTATTCTTAGTGTTTCAGTATTCAATATTTGGTTTTATCTGACAGAATTCATTTCCACCACTGTTAAGGTTTTCAGTGGTTAAACATTTCAGATGTAGGCCACCTCGCCTCCTTTTTCTGTTTTAGTCAGGAAGCTCAGCTGAAAGCTACCCAACATGGTTAACCCTACTGTATTTAAAATACTCATGGCTTCTTTCAGCATCACAGCAATACACAACTCACCACAGTGTGATACACTGACAGTGGAGTGGTGGTCTAATGATATTTGATCTAATTGATTTAATTGATGCATTTGAGTTATGATAATAGGGAAGAATATTGAAAGTGTCATGGACTGCCAGAAAAACAAACAAATCTGTGTTTGGAGAAGTAGAGTTAGAATACTCCTTAAAAGCTGGATGGTTAGACTTTGTCTCTCAAACTTCAGACATATTATCAGGAAAGACTAGTCCCTGTAGAAGCACACCATGCTTTGCAAATGTGGGGTCAACAAAAAAGAGGAAGATCCCCCAATGAGATGAATTGGCACAGTGGCAACAGAAATGGGTACAAGAATAATACCAGTTGTGAGAATGGTGCAGGACTGGGCAATGTTTCGGTATGTTGTGCATCCGAATGCTAGGAGTCAGAACCCACTTGATGGCACCTGAAAACAATAGCAGTGATGATATTGGGCTCTGATGTGGCACTGTAGGATAAGCACTGGACTGGTAACTGCAATGTTAACAGCTCATATTTACCAAACACTATCGGAAACCCTATACAGTGCGGCTATGAGCACTGTAGGATAAGCACTGGACTGGTTACCACAATGTTAACAGCTCACACTCACCAACCACTTTCAGAAACCCTATACAGTGTGGCTATGAGCTGGAACTAACTTGATGGCTCACAAAAACAGCAACAGTAATGCTATTATGTTTATTTTCTAATGTTGAACCACCCATGTATTCCTGTGGTAATCCCATTTGGTCTTGATGTAATTACCATGACCAATCCCATTTGGCCATTATTTCTTCAAAAATTTTTCTGCTGCTTTCTTTATCACTTCTAATTTGAAGACTCTTATTATGTCTAGGTTGATATGCACAAGTCCATCAAGCTCTATTAAGTTATTCCCATTCTCTTTCTTTCTACCCCTTAGATTGCAAACTCTCAGTGGTCTTTTCTTTGTGTACTGTTTTCTTCTGCTTCATCAAATCTGTTTTTGAACTGTTTGTTGTTGTTGTTAACTGTTGTCAAAGTCAGTTGCAACTCATAATGAGCCTGTATGGGGTTTCTGAGGCTTTGAATCTTTGTGGGAGAAGAAAAGTCTTATCCTTCTTCCACAGAGCAGATGGTAGGTTCAAACTGCTGACCATGTGTTTCACAGGCCAATGCTTATTCTTTGGAGCCGCTGTGCTCCCTTGAACCATTTGTTGTTGTTGTTGTTGTTGTTGTTAAGTTCTGTTGCATCTGTTCTGATTTATAGGGTTTACAAGGAGCAGTTGGTGGGTTTGAACCACCAACTTTGTGGTTATCTGTCTAGTTCTTATCTTACAGCACCATATCAGGACTCCTTGAACTCCTTAGATTGCAAACTTTCAAACATTTTTTCTTTCTGTACTATTTCTTTTGCTTCTTCAAATCTGTTTTGAACCATGTGTTGTTATTTAGTGCCATTGTGTCAGTTCCAACTCATAGAGATTCTGTACAGGGTTTTCAAGGAGAGGCTGTGGGTTTGCACTGCTTTGTGGTTAGCAGTCCAGTGTGGTGTTTTTTTTGTGTTTGCCCCCACCCCCCCATTATTTTTTAACTCCATATGTTCTGTTTGGTTCATTTTTTTCATTTATCTCCTTACTGGTTTTATCGTTTTGTTCAAACATAGTTTTCTGACCTTTAGTTATTTATCCTTCTAACGTTTAGCTCACTTGTTTCCAGGTTACTGGTGTTTTTGCCTTCAATAGGGGATAGTGTGAGTTAAGTGCCATTGAGTCACTTAGACCCACTGTTGTTACATGCCTTTGAGTCAGATCTGACTCATATCAACCCTATGGAGGGTTTCCAAGGCTTTTAAAATCTTTCTGGGATTAGAAAGCTTCATTGTTCTCCCACACATTGGCTGGCAGGTGACCCACAGGAGCAGAAATCTTTATCTTGCTCCTGTGGAGCGCTAATAGATTCGAACTGCTGACCTTATACTGGGAAACCACAACACTATCAAGGCTCCCAAATTGATTCATTCTCATGAATCCAGTGCTAGTTAGAGTCTGAGAATTATTGCTCTATTATGGTGGTAGTTATGTGCCGTGGAGTAAATTCTGACTTATAGTTACCCGTATAGGGTTTCTGATACTACAAATTTTTATGGGAGCAGAAAGCCTTCTGTTTCTTTTGCGAATCTACTGGTAGATTCAAACTCCTACCCCTGTGGTTAGCAGACCAACTCATAACCTATCAGAGCTCCTTTGCTCCATCATAGAGATAGATAATGTAATTTGTTGGCTTGATGATGTTGGTTTGTGAGCTCCACACCAAACTTTGTACATAAAACTGTATCTTGAACATGATTTGATGGAATATCTCCGATATGTGTTTTCTTTTTCTGCCTGCTCACTTCTTTATTGTTTCAGCTCTTAAGGTCACAGTTTTCTCTTGCAGATAGACTGTTATTGCACCCTGCAATGCACTTTTTACCTAACATACATTGTGTAACTCTGCATTTTAACTAATATGCAAAATGGTTGTTACGCTGAAGAAATTTATATTAATGGTAGAGTTATTTCTATATAGAAATACGGTTGCTGTTTTGTTATATGTGAGATACTAATTACAATATCCCGTTTTTAATAGAAAGACTTTTCTCTTTTGCAGGGTATCTTTCCTGCAAATTACGTTCACTTGAAAAAGGCAATTGTCAGTAACAGAGGGTGAGTAGTTGACTGTTCTAAATTTATTTACAATTTTTACAGATTCCAGAGGTAGGTTTTTAATATTTTTGATTGATAGTGTGAAATATGCTACTGACATTTTCTGGCAAAAATAGTCATGCTTTATCATGTGTAATTCTGAGGAAATTTTATTATAATAATGACAACTTTAATCTGTTTTTAACCTATTTTTCTATATACTGAAATAATATAAGTTGGTGTGAATTTTAAGATTTTTTCCCCCCCAGTAAATGTATTATTTTGAGACTAATTGATTGGAGAAGAGTTAGAGATAAGAGATACATCTGTCATTTTTGTTTCTACTTGTCAAAATACGGATGACTTTTTAAATATTTTTGGCAAACAGACATTTAAAAAAAAGTCTCATTTTAATAATGAAAGATAGCTTACAGAGGTGATAAATAATACGGTCACAAATATAAACAAATAAAAAATTTGTCTGCATATAAGAGGCACAAAAAGTAAATATATCAGAATGTTAATACTTATCTTTGTATATTGATAATGTGATTTTTTTATCATTTGTTTTTTTCTATGAAAACTGAGTATATGTTAAAAAATTATTAAAAATTCATCATTTTAAAATATAAAATATAAAGTCTGTATAATTTTCAAATAATACAGCTTTTTGTATAAGAAATAATGTTTTGGCCAGAGGATGAATAAACATCAGAGTAATCTTTTGATGCATCAGGGACTAGAAACTACATGAATCATTTTAAGAGGTAGGATTTAATGAAAGGAATTGTCTACACACTTTTGAGGAGTAAAGAGGAAATACTGATGTAACCCAGAGATAAGTCGCATCCAGTAGGTTCCAACTCATAGCAACACTATAGGGTTTCCAAGGAGCAGCTAGTGGATATGAACTGCTGACCTTGTAATTCGCAGTCCAGTGCTGATCCTACAGTGCTAGGGATAGTAGTGCAAAAGAGATTGTAATTGCAAAAAGCAGGCTTCATTCTTACAGCTTAGAATAGAAAAGATAATGGGTCTGGGATATCAGAAGGTAGGAGTTTGGAGGATGAATTTTGAGACCCTGGAGCTCAAACACCTGAGAAGAGAACATAACACAGTTGCTGTTTAGTATATATGAGAGAAATCAATGAGACCATTTCTTGGAATATCAAAAGAAGCTGGAGACTAGAACCAGTTGCCATTAATCGGAACTTGTTCCCAAGAATAACATAGCCAGTGCCCCCAGTAAGGGAGTCTAGTAGTAAAATAGCTATAGCTGGCATTCTCAGGCAGGGAATCTGTAAGTCAGTCTGTTTCACTTTGCACATCTAGGTATGAGAAGTGTGGGACTGGTGCTCCATAGCTGAACTCCTGGATGAGGAGTTCCATGGTGAGCCTGCAACAACTGTAGCTCCCAGGTAGAGAATCTGAGTCTAGCACTCCACAACTGATGCTTCCAAAAGGGAAGTCCCATGGTAAATCTGAGACAGTTGCTGTTCCCAGGTTGACAGTCTGGTGCTAAAACTCCAAAGGTGACACTCCCAGGCAGAGATTCTTATGGTGACTCAGTGGCACATGTTGCTACCTGAAGGGATGTCTTATGCTGAACTTCACAGCCAGTGCTCCTAGTTGGTGTATTTGGTGTTGGAGCCAGCCAGCTGGCTTGTCCATGCAGGGATTCTCAGGAGAATCTGCAACAGATGTTGCTTACAGGTGAATCTGATGATAGTATGTTGGTGATCATTGTTGATCCTGGACAGGGAGTCTGTTGCTGGAGTGGCACAGCCAGCATCCCCAATCAGGGAGCCTAGTGGTGAAGTGGCCTTAACCACATATTCCAAGGCAGAGAGTCTGGTACTGGAGCAGCACAACCCAGCACCTTCACTCGGGGATGCTAGTCATGAAATAGTGACAGCCCGAATTTCTCACCATTGTGTCCAGTGGTGAAATGGTCACAGCAGGTGCACCAAGGCATGGATCTGGTGTTCAGAATCCAAATCTTCAATAATTTATAACAGCTGTGATGATGAAGATGTCTAAACTCTAGAGAAGAGAAAGAAGCTAAACTCCAGATTTCCTCAATATAACAGTTTAGTATTACCTTTTCAGCAAAAAGTAACAAGACATATGAATAAACAGAAAAGGTGTCCATGAGAACAAAATAAAGTGACCAAAATAATCATGAGGAGGCACATATAGTGAAATTATGAGACAAAGACAGTCATAATATGCTTAAAGAGTTAAAAGAGAATACAAAGAAATAAAGGAAATCTAGAAAATGATGAAAGAACAAGACAAGAATTCCAATAAAATGAAAGAAATTTGTAAAAAGAACTAAACAGAAAAGAAATAACAATTCACTAGGGACTCAGTAGATTTTAAGTTGAAGAAACAAAAATCATCATGGTACAGTAAATTACTTAAAATGGTTCTTCTTGCCATAGTCTTCGGTAACTCCCACCAAATGTGGTGCCTTGGTCTAATGTGTCAGACTGCAAAGTCCTTTGAACTGCAAAGTCGGTGGTTCAAGCTCACCAGCTGCTTCTTGGAAACCCTATACAGGGTCGCTATGGGTTGGAATCTGCTCGAGGGCACTTAACTGGGTAGGAATATACAAATGAACAAACTTGCTAATAATGCAAGCGAGTGGGCAGTTTGTTACTAATAATGCAAATAAGATACATGACACCCTTGTGAGGATGTGACCTTGTGAATAAGGTGCATAGATCCCTAACAAGAGGATTGGTAAGTTTTGCCATCCCACTATGCTTTGGACCTGTGCTGAAAAATCTCCTTGACCCAGGAGACAGAAAAAGCTGTAGCAATGAGAAGCAGCAGCAGAGAAATAATGTCAGTAAAACCAGGAGACCACGAAGAGGCAGCGCAGTGGGATTCCCAACCCATTAAGTGAAAAAGCTGAGCATCATTAAGGAGGAGGCTTGCTGGTACAGTAGGGTGCCTCTGGACACTTAATAGAGCTGGGTTTCTTGACCCATGGAGCTAGTGGTAAATGCCTTCAGGCCAAGCCTTACTGGTAGAGTGGAGTTCCTCTAGGCACTTATTGGCAGAACTAAGAGGTTTGTAACATATGTTCAAGAATGGGAAGCCAAGTCAGCAGGCCAAAGGCCTGGTTAGTACAGGTACTACTGAAGAACTGTATCCTGAGTGCTCTTGAATCTTGTAATCTGTTATTTCCTTAATAAACTTCATAGTTATATTTTCTGTTCTGTGTGGCTATTTCAACAAACTAGTGAACGTCGCAGAGAAGTAGTGCGTGCTGTGGGAGGGATAGCTGGTGTCAGAAATGATGAAAAGGTTGGAAGGTGGAGGTATGTTTGAAATCTGTCTTATATAATCAACTTGGAGGCTATTGATGCAGGTAAGTATTCTTTTCCTCCTTTGTGAAGTTAAATGAGGAGGTCCATTGCCTCTGCCACAACATTTTTTACATCAGTGAATTTGAAGATAGGGTAATTGAGATTATTGAATCTGAGGAGCATAGTAAAAAGGATGAAGAAAAGTAAATAGAACCTAAAGGACCTGTGGGACACCATCAAGTGAATAATATATGCATCTTACGAATGTCAGAAGAGAGAGATAAATGGACAGAGAATGTATGAATAAATAGTGACTGAAACTTTGTAAATCTCATTAAAGACATGAACCTTTACATTTAGGAAACTCAGCAAACTCCAGGTAGGATAAACCCGAAGAGAGACACACTGAAACATTATAATCACTCTTGAAAATCAAGGACAGAATTTTTAAAGCAGTAAGAGAGAAGTAAATTATCACATACAGGATATTCAATAAGATTTATTGCCAGTTTCTCCTGAGAAACCATTTGAAGTATGTATTGAAAGAAGAAAAAACTGTCAACAAAGGATGCTATATCCTAAAACTGTACCCTTTAAGATTGAGGGCAAAATTAATACATCCCCAGATAAAACCTGATGGAATATGTTGCCAGTAGACCTGGTGTGGTGCTGTGTAGGATAAGGATAGACTATAAGGTCATTTGTAGCACAAGGTCAGTGGTTCAAACTCACTAGCTGCTGCTTGGAAACCCTATACAGGGTTGCTATGAGTCGAAACCAGCTTGATGGCACTAAATAACAACAGACCTTCCCTATAAGAAATGCAAAAGAGAGTTTTTCAAATAGAAAAGAAAGGGACGTTTGATAGTAATGTGAAACTATATATAGAAAAAACAAAACAAAACTCCTTTGAAGGTAATATTTGGGAAGTATAAGTTTAAAGTATATTTTGGCTGGTAAATACAGTTGTTATGCTTGTCTTGCTTTATAATGACAAAGGCACAAAGTAAGTATAAATTTATATTATGAAGTATAAAAACCTGTAGAGGATGACAATTTAAATATAGTGGGGAGCAGTATAGGTGTGAAATTTTTGTTATTGAAGTTAAAGTGACATAAATTTAAGCCAGGGTGTTATAAATGTAATATGTTAAATGCATCCCTCATGATAACCACAAATAAAAAAAGAAACTAGACACAAAAGAGCATGTACAGAATAATTTCATTAAGTTCCCAAGCTGAGCATAATGAATCTATGTTAAGAAAATAGTAGAGATGTTATCTTTGGGGAATGGGTAATTATGGAGAAGGAAAGAAGGGGAACTTCTGTGGTGCTGACAATGTTCTATTTCTTGACCTGGGCATTGGTTGCACAGGTTTATTCACTTGTTAGAAGTTTATTAAGCTATGAATTTATCATTTTTAAAATTTATGTTGTTGTTAAGTGTCGTCAAGTCATTTCTGACTCATAGCAACCCTGTATAGGGTTTTCAAGGAAACACCAAATTCTAGCCTTTGAATCACCAACCTTGTAATTAGCAGTTCAGTGCTGATCCTACAGTGCCATACCTGGACATTAAAAGTTCACCTATTGAGCTATGGCCATAAAACCTTGAATGTGCTCGATCTCCTCTGATCTCGGAAGCTAAGTAGGGTCAGGCTTGGCCCTTCAGAGACGCTGTCCTGAAGACACCTGTACCAGAA